TAATATCTCTAATTTCATTTTAGGTTCGGGCATCGCAATATATTTGTCATCCTTGCTGGCAAAGAGCTGAACGAGCAGCTAAGAATTATTCACTGCCATCAACTTCGAGAGCAACTACAGCCACACATAACACATTGAGATGTGTGAATTGTAACATTGATATCATAAGAATGAGACGACATATATTAGAAGATAATGTAATCTTCCAACAAGTACAACAACAAATTGCACCAAGAGTGGTAATTTAATACCTATTCAACTGAAACTAGCTTATCACTAATTAATTTATACAGTTATTAATACCTTATAAAATATAATCTGTCAAGCGGAATATCTTTTTCCTTTATGATTAAACAATGTTATTATTTACAGGTTACCCAGTCTGACTATATATGTCATGCTTGTCACACATTATTTTCTGAGAGAGATGCCACTGAACCCTTACAAGATTCTGTACCCTCTGTGGGTCACCTTAATGTTTGTATAAAATGTGGTCGCTCATTGGCAAACTCTCGGAGTTACACTGTGGGAGATGAAATCAACCGTCACATTTTACACATAGTTCAAAATTGGGTTCAGCCACGAGAAGTGAGACTATGTTTTTTTATGCAACTAAGTTTACAAACAAGCATGCTGCCCCCCAACAAGTCCGATAATGATGCCACTGTACATTGCCAACCTGTGACATAAGATGTCAAGTCAGAGTATCCAATAATTTTACTGCCTGTCTTACCCTTATGGGTACTGTATAATGGATATTTCAATAATAAATAAAAATGATATAATATTAATATTACAAGAATAAAGAAAAATTTAATAAAGTACACCACCCCGTGGTGCCCTTGTTGCAATTATGCTTGCAGCATTACTACACTGGATGGCAATAGACAGTTTTTTGCCTGAATTGGAGGCCCAGGTCTCATACAATTAGTATCCGCCAACATCTCTCTGTTTCCACCGCCAAATGCAATATTAATTAAATCATAATCATTAATATTTTGTTCTGTTTGCTTACCAGTAAACTAAACATTTCATTAAAATTAATATGTTTATTTTTCAGATTCAACCCTCAGATCTAATATGCCATCGATGTTACCAAAGAGCTGAGACCTTGTTACCAAGTGCTAGTGATACTGTGCCACAACATCCTGAGAGGATCATACTGCCAAATTATTTAAGAGCACCTGATACACATTCCCGCTGCATATTTCCTGTCTGTAACAGTACATCTCAGCAAACTGTTCCATATATGATAAGAGTGAGGCTGTTTAGTGACCACAAATATTATATTCCCCGAAATTGTCGCATATGCAGGTTTCATTTAGAAGCACAGCAATGGATGGACTTATTTGATGAAAATATTAACCACAGTTTTACAGCTGCATACATAGAAGATTTTTGTGATTTATTAAAGAGTGACAGAAACACAATAGATTTTCAAAATATAGAGGCAATGGATGACAGTATGGTTCATTATTGGATAGGATATACAAAACAACAATTTAGAGATTTAGAAGCAGCATTGCCTGAATTTCGAAACCGTGATGTAGCACTTGGGGCTTATCTTATGAAGTTGCGGACAGGTGATTCGGATGATAGGATAGCTACATTGATGAATATGAGTAGAAGCACTTTATCAAAATTAATATTTAAAGTTCGTGAAATCATGATAGACCATTTTGTTCCTCAACATTTGGGGCTTGGCCATATATCAAGAAGTCAAGTAGCAGAAAAAAACCTTTACATACCAAACTCACTATTTGGAAACCCAGGGAGTAATCTTGAAGACAGAAAAGCTATTGCCATTATGGATGGCACATACATTTACATACAAAAAAGTGCAAATTATTCCTATCAAAAGGATACCTATTCTCTACACAAGTATAGGAATCTTATCAAACCATTCATTATAGTATGTTGCGATGGCTATATAATAGACGTGCTGGGACCCTATGCAGCAACGAAATCTGACGCTGATATTTTAAAAGATGAATTTAGAGACCCATTACAACCTCTTCGACAATATTTTAAAGAGGGTGATATCTTTATTTTAGACAGAGGGTTTCGTGACAGCATTTCTCTTTTACAAAATCTTAATTACTCAGTACACTACCCTCTGTCACTAGAACCAGGTGAGCATCAAATGAGTACCCAAAATGCTAATGAATCACGAAAAGTAACACTATGCCGTTGGGTTGTAGAAGTTGTGAACGGGCGATTTAAGAGGGATTTCAAATTGCTGCGACAAGAGTACTTCAATAAAGCTTCAAAGCATTTGATGGCCGATTTTAAGGTCGCAGCATCTCTTATAAATAGATTTCACCCTCTTTTAGTTGACAGAGAGGATGCAGTGGATATTGTATCTGTGATACAAGAAAAAATGTTTTTAAACAATTCTTTGGCAGATTTTGTAGAATCCAATAATTTAAATAAAAGAAGGGCCCAGTTTCAAAGTATTTCAGTAAATACCGATAACATTACCTTTTTTCCACAATTACAATATAATGATTTGATTTTAATATCATTAGGTGTTTACCAAATAAAGCAAGCCAGGTCATACTATGGTGAGCATGTACGACAAGATGGTAATTATATTATTGAAGTATGCAGGGAGGTTGACCAACAATTACTAGCTCAATTAGAAATACAGCATTCAGAAAACGCATGTCTTTTAAGAGGAAGAATTCACAGCCGTCATATAAGTCAAAAAACATATTTTGTATATATTTTGATAAATACATCCGAAAATGGAAGAGAAGCAATAAAAAATTACTGTTGTAATTGTGTTGTTGGGCGCAGAACTATAGGTTGTTGCGCCCATGTAATGACTATAATATGGTATTTAAGTTGGGCTAGATATCAAGAAAATGTCAACCCCCCTGCTCAATTCTTAGACAATATTTTATTACAAAACATAGATGACATTGAATAAAAGATACCTAGGTATATTGTGAAAAATAATCAATAAAGAAGAAGCAAAACTACAGTTTTTATTTTATTCATGATTCCTACCTACCCAAGTTTTTCCTAATAGTTATTCTTTAAAATCGCACCGAATAAAATTGCATTTGTTGTAATATTAATTCACTTCATACCGAGTTCATACTAAGTTCATAGGTTGACCTATGTTTCATTTAATATTAAATATAACCTCAAAAAATATTAAGTTTTTCTGATAATTTAAGTTCTCAGAAGTGTCCGTCAATAATCTTTGTTTTTACAGTCATATACTTGCAATTTCGAACCTAGAAAATAATATTTCATGATTGTTGGTTCTTAGGCAAACAATGTATGGACGCAGAACAATGTCCTTTTCGCAAAATAATATTTTTCAGTACTAGATCAAGAGCCTTTCTGAGATCGAAATAGGCGGCATCCACCTGTCGCCCAGCGTCCATTTCTCCACAAATTTAATCAACATGCGCTATTAAGTTTGTATTAGTTGAGCGACCTTTTCCGAATAGGTGTTGCCCTGAATAATTTCCAACACTCAGGATATTGAGGTTGCTTAATGCATTACAAAGAAACAGAAGAGGCTGTTCAAGGTTTGTTATCTAATCTTTTATCAGGAACCCTAGAAAGTAGGTAGTCGTAACCCCTGGCAGATCTCAGCCTGAGAGCCTCGCTGCAGCCTTCAGGTCAGCTTTACCGACTACTGTTAAAGAGACAAGAGTTGTGTGCCTATGTTCGTTGGTCATGTGGCCTCAGCCACATTCAATCTGGGTTCTTCGTCATGAAACACAAAACTAAAATATGAGGCAAAAACATAAGCTTGGCTCATGCTAGGGGTTTATTTATTTCATGAATTTCCTTGACTTCAGTATCTAAAACCTAAACCGAGTGTTTTGTTTTCCTTGTCGTAATGGAAGAAGTAAATTAATTATTATTTATTCGAGGAGCTCGATGCAGGTGGCTAGCGCGTTCGGCTGCGATCGTTGAAGTTAAGCAACTTTCGCAGTGGTCGGTCATTGGATGGGTGACCAAAAATTTACTATCTCGAGCTCCTCCGTGCTTCGGAAGGTAAGTTAAGCCGTTGGTCCCGGCTGCATTTGCAGTCGTTAGCACCCATCAATCCGCACTGGGCCCGCGTGGTGGGTCATGGCCCAATCTCCCTATTCCATCCATAGGGAAGGCCTGTGCCCCAGCAGTGGGGACATTAATAGGCTGATGATGATTATTATTTATTAAATTTTTTTATTAAAAATTAACATAGCTTTTGAATGAAACTTCTTTTTGGACGTTGGAGGGTAACTCAGCGGAGGCTGAAACGCTACGAGCGTCACACACGATAAAACTTATATATATTTATAAACATATACATATATGAATAATGCGTGCGCTGCTCCATTCCCCTATGCTTTATGCACCGCCTAATGTTAGGTTATTTAAGAAAAGAAGTTTCACTTCAGTACCCCTAGCACGAACCAATATCGAATTCGTATAGTTTGCGAGTCCGAAATATCATTGTCAAATGTGTACTGATTTTTAGTTCCCGTTACGTCCAAAGTGGCGCTGCTGTTCAAATTTCCATACAAAATTTGACATTGACATTTCGGTTTGCAAACTATTCGAATTCGATATTGGTTCGTGCTAGGGGTACTGTACTGATTTTAGTTCTCGTTACGTACTTTGTGCCGCTGCTGTTCAAGTTTCCATACATAATTTGACATTGACATTTCGGTTTGCAAACCATTCGAATTTGATAAATGGTTCGTGCTAGGGGTACTGATGTGTGGACCGTGCACACTAATAATCATAATTAAAATAAAATCGTAATCTTTTGATATGTTCTACAACAATACTTTTCATTATTAATTCGTACTGACCCTGGGAATCTACATTACTCGAATATATAAAAAACATCACGGAAGTTGGGTTTTGTTAGCTATTCAATTCTTTCACTAATGTTTTTTTAAGATTTATAAATCTAGCAGTCAAATGCTTTAAAATATAATAACCTATGTTAATTTGATAAAGGTTCTTGAATAAAACCACATTTCTAATAAGTACCTTTATTAGAATGAAAAAGAAGGTATTAAAAACATAAATATATTAGAAGTTCTTCCCGTGTTCGAAGTTTGCTTGTATCTGCGAGTCATGAATGAATTTGGTGTAGGAATTATCTGTGAAAAATAGAAATAACAATTAAAAATAAAACAAACAAAACACCAATTTAAAAAAAATACTCATGAACTACCTCGACTATTTAATTATGAAATACTAACTCTACTGAACAACGTAATAGGGATGATGACAAATTTTTTCTTTGTTTATCAGGTAGATTATCAAAAATTATTGGACACGTATTTTTTCTTTTTTCACATAATATAAACACTGCAGAGATATATTGATTTGAAAAGTCGCATGACGTTACGTTTTGCTACAATTTTCACATAAAAGTGACGTCACGAGCCCCTATTCCCAAACTTTGACGCGCTTTAACTTTGCCATTTTTTGGTTGATTGCCCAAAGAAAAAATACGTGTCTATTATTTTTTGATCATCTAACTGACGGACTAAATAGAATTTCGTTTACTTTACCCCGTCATCATGCCTATTCCAGTCTCAATAAAATGAAGCTTTTTTCATCTTCGTCTGTGATTTATTTATATTTACAATCGGAGAATTTGGGAAATTCTCTCTAGTCGGTCATAGAATGGGTGACCAAAAAATCTTATCTCTAGGTCCTCTGTGTTTCGGGAGACACTTTAGGCCCACCAATCCACATTGGACCGGCATGCTGAGTCATGGCCCAGTTCCGAAGGCCTGTATCCCCGCAGTGGGGGCATTAATAGGATTATGATGAGTCACTGATACAGTATATTAAGTGCATGGTGAGTGATGCCAGAGTCAGGAGTGATTTTCAAAAACCTACCTCCTTCAATTTTTCCTAGCAAAATATCTTCAGACGGCGCATCTCGAGTGTCAGTTCTGAAGTTAGCTGGCTGTACCTAAAAAGAGAAGGTATTTTTTAGATCATTTCATACAGATATTTCTTCCGTAATGCCAAACAAAGTTCAAATTACATTCTTTTTACTAATGCCCCACCCTCTTTTTGTTGCCATGCTTGTACTATAATTAATGAAATTTAAATTAATGTAAGGTGGCTGGATATCGGAAGGCAATTATCAATATTTAACATATACATTATCAGCGATTTTACTATTCTGAAGGAACACATAATTAATATCATTTCTATAAAATCAATAAACAGAAACGATTTTTTTTGCTCCACGGTTACGTGACCGTAAACGCTTGGGATAGGCCAAGCCTAGAATGAAGTCACACGCTAGTATACTTCTGGCCAAGGTGGATAAATAAAAACATTACGATACATGTATCGTTTGACAATTACGTTTTTTTTAATAAGTGTTTTTGTAAGTTACAAAAAACAGAATTAAAAATACCCACTTTTTATGGACTTCATAATTTGTAAATAACCTGAGGTCGTTTTCTAAAACTTGTCAAATGCGCTATTGTATTATATTTGTACTAGCAAACCAGTGAACCAAATGTTCACCAAAACCTGATTTAAAAATGTATTTAATTAATTGAGAACTTCGGAGATTTTGTGTGGTTTCGTTTGAAATTATTTAGTTAAAAAAAATTAACCTTTAAATAGTTAATTAAAATTGTGATAATTACAAAATAGAAATCACGTGATTTCTCGAAAACCGGAAGTGCTACGTTACTCAAATCCGATTTGTAGTCTTATCAGACTATTCTTAACTTATAACTTAAATATTCTCTTTATCTATCTCTTACGGTTTGGCCGCTGAAACAGCACCACAGACAGACGGACGGACTTGTCTAATAGATAAGAGATAGGACAGCGATAATTATATACAGGGAATAAGCAGAGTCGTGTTGTCCTTCGTAGCCTGCCGCCCTGTTTTAAAGTAGGGTAGTAAGTTAATATACAGTGGTGGTCACATAATTAAAGACACTATCCCTAATTGACCACAAAAACTTGCTTGTGGTACTAAAATTACCTAAAATTGGTATTTAATCTAGTGTAATTGTTATTAAACTATACACGACGTTGTATTCTTACAATTAGTACAGTCAATCTGTAGGTTGAGTGGTGAAAAAAAAACCTAAAGGGTAAGTCTTGTTTTTTCTGTTGCCAAATGACGTCAGTAAGCCACCTTGGCGATGGGCATGTTCAACTCGTAGGCTTTTTTTGAAAATCTCAAAAAAACCGTCAAAAGTTTTTTGAAACGCATTTTTCTTGTTTTGTATGCATTTTAGAAACTTTTTTTTCAACCATAATTGTAGAGGGCGTTGAGTGCTACAATTTATGTCATTGTTGCAATCTCGTACAACAAAAAATGCGCATTGTAGGTGGCGCTAAAGTCTCAAAAAAGTGTTTTTTCACTTTTTCACCCTGAAAATATCATTTAATGGAAAACTTTAAATGAAAAAGTTGTTCCGTACATAATTACCAACAACTTTTGTATAAACAATTTTTTTGTATTACTTACCGTTTTCAAGTTATAAATTGCGCAGGTATGAAAAATCCAATAGAGCGGTTTTGGGCAGTTCAAGTACACATTTGCAGTGCACATTTCAATGTACGTTTTTACTATTTTTTTTTCAATCATGAAAAAAATAAAAATAAAACTTTTTTTTTATATATTTTTATTTATTTTTTTGTTTTACAATCATGAAAAAAAATAAAATATGATCTGATATCTAAATCTGATCCTTTTTCTATGGACCGGCGCCGATCGGCGCCGCCCGATAAGCGCCGATAAGCGCCGACACGCGCTGGTCCGAATAATAAATAATTTGTATTTGAATTATTATCCTTAGATTAAATCAATCTAAGTTATAATCTTTTTATAAATCTAATAACTTTATCTTTTATTAACTAAGCGCTAAAATTATTTGTTTCGTACTTACCGAATGGTGACAACAAGTCTTTCTTCTGGAAGGATTGGTTGTTTATGCCAATTGCCCCAATTTTTCATCAAACGGTTTTTCACTAAATCCAAAATGTAATATAATAATAATAATAATAAATATATCTTTATTCAAATAAGGTCATACATTGCATAATAATACTAATAACAATATAAAGTACAAAATAATGGATGCCTGAACTAGGTTACAGTTAAAATTGTACCTGTATTTCAGGCTTTTATGATCTAAATAATACATTGAATGATTAATAAATTAACAAATTAATTAAAACAGAACTAAAAGTAATCGTTATATAAATGTTGGTAAATGTAAATTATGGAGTTACGTTCATTTATTTACAAATAAGAAGTAATTCTTCGGTCTGCTCGTATGTCAGGCTATGCAAATAATTAAATACTACAGTTCTACAGTTCAAATAGTTTAATGTATAAATACCTAATACTCTATTTAACTTATTATATAAGAAAGGACTTAGGAAAGTAGAGAATCTATGTGAAAAGATGTATTTTGAATCATGTGTAGAGATGCAGACTATATCTTTCCGTCTTTTGTTAGTGATATCAGCGCAAAAAGGTGAAATGGTGTGTTGTTTTAATATGGTGTGCATAATGAAAAGCTGGCGAACAGTTAACACATTACAGTATTTGTAAAGTTGATGCGTAGGATATAAGAAGGGAAGTGAATTGGCTACTTTTAAAATGGCTCTCTGAGCTCGCTCGAGAGGGATTAAAATAGTTTTGAGAGCTCCACCCCATGAAGTTATACAATATTGAATTACTGATTGGCATAAGGCCTGATATACCTGTTTAATTAGTTTTGGACCTGCAATGGTACGTAATTTTTTAAAAATATACATTAATTTACGGATCCTGACTACTAGATTTGCAATATGCTGTCTAAAAGATAATGTGTCGTTAATTAAGATACCAAGATATTTTAATAAAATGTTTCTTGAATCATTCTTGTATATGTATAAAATCGTTGTTCATCAATTTTTTTTTTTTTTACAAATAACTGATGGTATTCTCCGAAACGTTTCCTTTCTCTATTTATAGGATGTATAGCTGTTTTTCGCATTTTTAAATAAACATTTTCTAACAAAACCAAATCATCGTCCGATGAGTCCGACATTTTGCTTGATCTGCTTTAATCGGCTTCCTTTATGTAGGAAGGCGCTTATCGGCGCCGATCGGCTTTCGGCTTTCTTTCTGTATACGGCCTTAGATTAAAACAAAAAGGGTAGATACGGCACTAGCCTCACAAAAGTGATCCGCATGAATTGTGGTCCACGACCCTAATCGCTTTAGTCACCACTTGTCATGCAAACGACGTACATGTGAACGCCAAAAAGAAATATTGCTAATATTTTGTGTTTATATGATAAAACAAGGCCTAAGTGTGTTTTTAAAAAGTGCTCAAATTGCTCAAGAACTAAAAATAAAACCCACGGCATCACTTTTCATTCGTAAGTACTATAAAATATATTTTTTCATAAAAATTGCTGTTTGATTTGAATCTTATTAGGTAGTGACGTCGAGTACTGGTCGCGTGATTGGTCGGTAGAGCAGTGACGCGGATCTCGCCGTCTCGTTCGCGCTGCCGTTAAAACTTAACGTGCTGTTTCGTTCGGGTCGGTAATGCAGTGACGCGGATCTCGCCGTCCCGTTCGCGCAACACGACCGAAAACGTACCAAGAAAACCGAGACCAAAAAAAACTACTCTGCGGGAAGACTCTAAGATGGTGTTGTTGGCAAAAAAAGATCCGGTCAAGGGATCAGAACTGATACGTTTGGAGTTGTTTGGTACAGGAGGGTCGGAGGATGTGTCCGCAAGAACAATTAGATGTAAGGCAAATTTGTACGGAAGAGTGTCTCGGAAGGTGCCACTTTTGAAAAAGCAAAATGTTAAGGCAAGATTAGCATTTGCTAAAAAATATGTATACTGGACTAAACGAGAATGGAAACATGTGCTTTTCTCTGATGAAACAAAAATTAATATGATTAATTCTGACGGAAAACAATATGTTAGACGCCGCCCTAACAAAGAAATGGATCGAAGTATACCAAGAAAGTAGTTAAACATGGGGGCGGAAATATCAAAGTTTGGGGCTGTTTCTCAGGACTTGGTGTTGGACCTGTCAGGAAAATAGAAGGCAACATGGATAAATTTTAGTACAAGAATATTTTAGAACAAGCCATGCTGCCCTATGCCGAGCAATATTTACCGGTCATTTGGACTTTCCAACAGGATAATGATCCGAAACACACAGCAACAGTAATAAAAGACTTGGATATACTGTACTTCCAGGGCCCAAAAGTAAAAACTTCACAGTTTTGTTGGTTGTAATTTCGCATTTTTGTTGTTAAAAAGGTTTCTGTTAACCACATTATTAAAAAAAATGTCACACATAAGTTTTTTTTGCAATGGTAGTTTTTTAGAAAAAAAAATTGAAAATTTTTCTTTTCTTATCAAGTGGTGATACTTCACACTAGGTTAGGTTAGGTTAGTGTTGTGACCATAACGCACGAGCCGAGCGAGCAAAGCGAGCGTGCCGCGGCAGCGGCCGGCGAAGCGCCAGAAAAAAAAATCTGTTAAAAAGACCTTTTCTACAAAAAAAAAACAAGTATCACCTTTTGGGCCCTGGAAGTACAGTTTTACCAAAGACTTTTTAAGAAACCAGTCTGTGACAGTTTTGAATTGGCCACCGTACAGTCCTGATTTAAACCCAATAGAAAATCTGTGGTACCAGGTGAAGAAGACAGTGACGACAAAACGGACATCAAACATCGATCAATTTTACACAGCTTTTAGAGAAGCTTGGAAGCAAATTCCGGTGGAAGCTTGTAAAAAATTGATCGCTTCATGCCCAAGAGATGTCGTGCTGTCATTTCTGCCAAAGGACATGCGACTAAATATTGATACGTATCAGAAAGTTTTATAAATGTGTTAGGAATATTGTGTAATAAAGATAATTTCAATAATAACAATATTTTTTTCTATTTCTTCTAAGCAAATCGAGTGTCTTTAATTAGCTGGCCAGCTATAAATATGTTAAAAAAGTTTGTGTTACGTTCCTATAGTGAACAGTGTCTAAACTACTAACGGACACAACTACATATTTTTGTCCCACATTGTAAGAATACAACGTCGTGTATAGTTTAATAACAATTACACTAGATTAAATACCAATTTTAGCTAATGTTAGTACTATAAGGAAGTTTTTTGTGGCCAATTAGGGAATGTCTTTAATTATGTGACCACCACTGTATATTAAGAGCCCTTTAACAAAATTGCGCCGCTGCCGTACTAATCGGAGCGTAGGTAGATTGGCACTAGTATATATTGCATTTTAAGGGTGATGTTTCGAGTCTTATAAAATAACTAGCAAACCAGTGAACCAAATGTTCACCAAAACCTGATTTCTGGAAAACCGGAAGTGCTACGTTACTCAAATCCGGTTTGTAGTCTTATCAGACTATTCTTAACTTATAACTTAAATATTCTCTTTATCTATCTCTTACGGTTTGGCCGCTGAAACAGCACCACGGACAGACGGACTTGTCTAATAGATAAGAGATTATTAATGAACTAATTATAAAAATATATACATATTTCAGTAGTTTAATGATGGTAGGTTAGTTTTATGAAAGTTTATAATAGTAATTCTATTTAATTCAATATACGAGGTAAACCTACATAGTTTTTTGGGAAAACTCACGGAGGTTAGATGTTTTTTTTTGTTAATTAATGATTGATTGATGCAAAATCAAAATTCTTATGCATTATGTTACAACAAAAACATATTTCTGATGTCGTAGTAATTAATTTGATCTAATTTATTGAACATTATTAAAAGAATTAGGCGTTTGAAGTTGTACTTATTATCGTATTTTCCGTAAATTATCTGCGGTAGAATGATCAGTACAAAAAAAAGGTACATAGTATTTGCAAATATTCTACATTAACTTACAAAAGGAAGAATAAATCTACTGTTTACTTCTTTGGAAATAGTCAAAACCTTTTCTAAGGGGGTAAACGAAGAACTCAAAATTTACGATTTTTTGCAAAAAATGTGATGGCAATTCTTTAACTTAAGTTAAAGAATTGCCATTAATGTCCCCTCCCCCACATCCCCATAGTTACAGCCTTGTCACTTTGACAAAAGAAAATAAAAATTAGTATGTACGGACCTCAAATCTGAAGTAATACTTCTCTTCTTAAATCACCTAACATTAGGCATAGGGGAATGGCGAATCGCACGCGTCACTCAATGTATATATATACATATTTATTGTCCCGTGTGACACTCCTGACGCTCGTAGCGTTTCAGCCTTCGCCGAGTTAGTTACCCTTCAACTTTTATGCTCGTCGGCAAGAGCTGCGCACGCATCCCACACACACACACACACATATACACAGTCAGGTCATAAGTATTGTCACACAGTAAAACTTTTCTTTTAGAATGCTGGCCACAAAAAAGTTTATTGAATTCGAATTTCGAATTGTTCATGAAAATAAAAATGTATACATTATAGAATTTTACTCATTTTTAAATATAGAGTGGACGCTTAAAGAAGACTGTGATGCAGTTATTGCGTTGCATCGTTGCGGTTACGCGCCAATTCAAATTTTTGACATAATGAAAATTTTGAATATAACCAAAAGATTCGTTTATCGTACCATCAAACGATACAATGAAGACTCTAGTATAGATGACAGGTCAAGAAGTGGTCGCCCTCGGACTGTTAGGACTCCAGCAATGATAAAAGCTGTGAAGGCGCGTATTCAAAAAAATCCCAAACGTAAGCAGAAACTGTTAGCCCTTCAGATGGGGTTAAGCAGAACCACGGTGAAAAGGGTGTTAAATGAAAACTTAGGGCTTCGGGCATATCGAAGAAAAACAGGACATCGTTTGAATGCTCGTCTAATGGATCTGAGACTGAAGTGATGCCGCGCTTTGTTGAAGCGGTACGCGGGAAAAAAAGATCGGGAAATTCTTTTTTCGGATGAAAAAATTTTTACCGTAGAAGAGAGCTACAACAAACAAAATGATAAGGTGTACGCACACAGTAGTGAAGAAGCGAGCAATCGTATTCCGCGTGTCCAACGAGGTCATTTTCCATCTTCACTCATGGTATGGTTGGGAGTTTCTTATTGGAGCTTAACAGAGGTACATTTTTGTGAGAAAGGTGTAAAAACGAATGCAGTTGTGCATCAAAATACAGTCCTGACGAACCTTGTGGAACCTGTTTCTCATACCATGTTCAATAACAGTCACTGGGTATTCCAACGAGATTCGGCGCCAGCTCATAGAGCGAAAAGCACACAACACTGAGAAAATCTGAGAGAAATCGACTTCATCCGGCACGAAGACTGGCCCTCCTCCAGTCCAGATTTGAGTTCGTTAGATTACAGGATATGGCAACACTTGGAGGAAAAGCCGTGCTCAAAGCGTCATCCCAATTTGGAGTCACTCAAGACATCCTTGATTAAGGCAGCCGCCGATATTGACATGGACCTCGTTCGGGCTGCGATAGACGACTGGCCGCGCAGATTGAAGGCCTATATTCAAAATCACGGAGGTGATTTTGAATAAACTTTATTGTCATAAGAATTTATGTTTTGTTAAGTTCATTTTGGTATATATAAATGGTTACATAATGAATAAACTTGTTTCAATGAGGGCTATCGCGTATGAATCCGCCGCTAGAGGCGCTAGTGTAGCGTGAGGTCTCCGAAATGTCAAATGTTATTGCTTGTTGGTTGACTACGCGGGTTTATTTCTAATTAAAATAATGTCGTGAATAATTGGTAACAATTCGGCTTAATTATGGCAAATATGAGTTATGTGGCAATGAATGTCAGTTATTAAAAATTTGAGCTTAGAAAAATGATTATGTTCCCATTTTTTCCGAATAAAACGGAACTGCGCGTCACTGTCGCATGGCCTATTATGTTTAGGATATGGTTCTTTTATGTTAAAATACGATCTAAATGTAACCTTTGATTTCATGTGCGTATTAATAAACTTTAAAAGTTACAATTTAGGCCCTCACTCAACAGTGGCGCCATCTGGTGAGGCAGAAAACGGTAGCCCTCATTATTTTATATTAAACATGTGACAGAATTTATGAGCTGACTAGGTATATATAGTCGTGCGAAGCTCGTGACGCATTTCCATTTTATCTTTTCCATAGGATTTTTCCATTTACTATTTTTTCGAAAAAAAATTTCATTTCCAAAATATACTTACTTGGCCGTCATTTCTCATAACGTCCGGCGCCACTGGTGCCGAGCCAGGGTACCTGTTGTAGATGCCGTTCAAATTGTAGTGCAGATTCATGTCCGGCCCAATGTTAGCCTTGAGCAGTTGTTCCCAGATGCCACCTGTGAAAGGAATTTATGCGTGATATCGTTGCTAGGCGGAGCTCGATGGCGCAAGTGGCAAGCGCGTTTGGCTGCGATCGATGAACTTAAGCAACTTTCGCAGTGGTCGGTCATTGGATGGGTGACCAAAAATTACTATCTCGAGCTCCTCCGTGCTTCGGAAGGCACGTTAAGCCGTTGGTCCCCGGCTGCATCTGCTGTCGTTAGCACCCACCAATCCGCACTGGGCCCGCGTGGTGGGTCATGGCCCCACCTCCCTATTCCATCCATAGGGAAGGCCTGTGCCCCAGCAGTGGGGACATTAATAGGCTGATGATGATGATCGTTGCTACGGTTATTTTATCGGAGTGGAACAAAAGTTTATGGGTGTGTACCGAAACTTAACCCAGTACGCTGGCCCGCGGTAATGACGTCAAGATTTCGACGCCATATTGCACTGGTGTGCCGCCATTTTATGCTGGTGAGAATACTGTGACGTATAATAGCTGGGTTAGTGAAGGTCTTTTTTGTATTAAATTGATATTAATGGTATCTCAACAAACAGAAAAATTAGTTTTGATCGATGAAGGGAATAACAAGATTTACAAACTTTATTGTAATTTATTATAATTTTTGGAGCATGAACGTTGCACACATACACGAGACTGCTTGAATATAGCGCCATTAGCACTGGCCAGTATACTGGTTTATATTACGGAACACACCATATGAGGAGGTATATAAATTTAAATGGAAAATCTTGGGACACATATCCGATCTATCACTTATATACTAAAAAAAAATACCACACTAATATAATAAATGCGAAAGTGTGCCTGTCTGTCACCTCTTTACGCCTAAACCACACGGTTAAGGTAAAATCGGGCACGTAGACAGTTTTCATCCCGAATGTTTTCCTTTATGAGGGTAAAAAGGGGGTGGGAAGTTTGTATGGAAAACCAATTTTTCCACGCAGACGAAGTCGCGAGCTCCCACTAGTAGGTAAATAAACCATGCCACTATTTTTATTACCCAGTTTTGAGTTCCAAATAAGGAAACCACCAATCTATCCATTTTTGACGTGATAACGTCTTATAAATCGTTGAACACCGGCTGCACGCACGAAAAAGTGTCACGTTCCGCCTGAGCCTGAGCGTGCAAGCGAAAGCGAGGAACAAGCGATAGAGAGGCACAATCGGCCCGAGCGTCGACTTGTACACATTTAGGTCTTCTCGTGTGACGTCAGAGCTAGGTATTATGTAATTTTTCATCAATGTTTCTTTATGACGTTATCATGTTCAAGTATCGCCCGTAAACCGACTTTATGCAGACAACCATTTTTTTTAATAAGATAAAATATAACAGGATTCTTAGCCAGTATTTTGCTAACTGATGGAGTAAGTGACCAATTAAATAGCTCCTGGAAGATACAAGAATCAAATCCATAGAAAGACAAACATATAAATTACTATACCTTTATAATTTTATTTTTTTTAAAACATGTAACTGCTTAATGTTTAAATCTAAAGAAAATATAACTAGAACAAATTCAATGCGGACCAGGCAGCAGACGGGACTCGAACCCGCACCCTTCGCAATCCGGGCGAATACACTATAACTATAACTGTAATTATAACTATAGTTGCTATTTCTTCTTTCAAATGTTTAATACTTGTAAAAGTATTCATTTGACATTGTGGGTTACCTATAATGCGAAGAGATGGCGCTGCCTTGCAGCTTAAGAATGGCTAGAGGAATTTCGACACGGTCCGTGAGGGCCGCGGTAGCATTATTGGTCAGTGCATTCGCCCGGATTGCGAAGGGTGCGGGTTCGAATCCCGTCTGCTGCCTGGTCCGCGTTGAATTTTTCTACTATACCTTTATCAACGGACACAATCGGCCTGTTCGATTGCCAGGGATATTCGCCATGCGCTTGGAAATATATCGCATAAGTAGACAGCTGTAACATATAATAGTAAAGCTATTTTTTTGAGTGTGTATACTGTTGGTCGCAGATGACCTTTACAGCGTCACCGGGTTTGGGGACGGCGAGATCCTAAGGGGCCCTCAAGCCGAGAATTGACGAGTGCCTCTAGCTAGAGGTATTCCAGGCGGATGGCGTCTCCCACGGGGGGAGTCTCCTCTCTGTATGGAGCCTCTAGACCACTCGGACCTGAGGGGGTCGGCTCAACAAGAGGGCGTCTCTGAGACTCGGACCTCGGCTCTAGTTAGCCGTTGTCGTGGGGGGCAATAATAGTAAATCAACTCCCTATTTCCCTTGGTTACGTCATAACTACGACCTACGTGGCCGTGGGTTTGGTACGCCGGGTTTCAAGGAGACGCCTACTTGAGAGGTCCCGAGTTCAAACCCCGGTGTGGTCAGATGTTCGTGTGATGAATACGAGGATTTTGTACTCCAGTTATGGATGTTTAATATGTATTTCTATGTAAATATACTTATTTATGTATCAGTATATGTATACTATCCGTTAAACTAGCATCCTATAACACAAGCCTTAGGGTGCGGCCAGAGTGCACTCAGATTCAGATTCTGAAAACAAGCGCGAGAAATAAACAGTGTAGTCTAAGCAGGTTGCCTGCTTTTTCTCGCGCTTGTTTTCTGAGTCTGAATCTGAATCTGATTCAGGAGTGCACTCTGGCCGTACCCTTCGACTACACTGTTTATTTCTCGCGCTTGTTTTCGGAATCTGAATCTGAGTGCATTCTGGCCGCACCCTTACAGTGCTTACTTTGGGGCTAGGCTAATAGGGTATTTGACAAGTTTTAGAAAACGATCTCACGTTATTGACTAATGTATGGAGTCCGTAAAAAGTGGATATTCATCATTCTGTTGTGTATTTCTGTAAAAATAACCCAATCAAAAACCCCATTTTCAAGTAACCGCGAAAACGTTTTTCTGGGCTCTGGTCGTGTGTGTTGTGTGTGTGACGTCACACGACTGTTATTAAAACGTCAAACGATACAATGTAATGTCACTTTAAGGCGCTTTGCAGACGACGGGGCGGGGCGGGCCGGTCAATTTCACCGCGAACGATAGCACAAAGTGAATCCTATATTACAAACGCACACAGAGGGCAAAAAGACCGCGCCGCAGGTGCCCTGCGCGGCGGGCACTGGCGGCGCGGCATGTCCGCGGCTGCCCGCCGTGGATCATACAAACCAGTTTATATGCAGTAACGCAGACGGCGGCGCGGGGCGGTCAGCTCAGTCCGCGCCACGCGCTTTTTAGTGATGAACTATTCACTAGAACGAACGTCCTGAACTGACCGCCTCTGCCCGTCGTGTGCTTTGTGTACGCGGCGCGGGCAGCCGCAGACATCGACGGGCAGACGCGATTTTTATTGCTTCGCGGACAAAATGCCCGCCCGTCGTCTGCTAAACGCCTAACCGGAAGTTTATTTGCGTGTGACGTCATTTTAGCCTTTGGGTCACGTGACAGACAATAGATAAGAAAACTATTATCTTTTTCGTGGGTTTTTAGTAAAATTATGAATAGTATTTTTGTAAAAAGAGTATAAACCCCTGCCTATATTTCTAAATACAGATGCTAACAATTGGCAGTTTATTTTTAATACTGTCAAATACCGTACTGATGTGATTGTTGGAAATATTTATTATTAATTAACTTGAGAACTGCTTGAAAATTAAATGAAAATGAACTTTATTCAAGTTGACTAAAAAAAAACTTTTTTGAATCGTCTTTATAATATATTTTTTTCCTATCTTTATTGTTTTAAACTTTCATAGTTACTTTACCGTAATTTATGTTATTTACGGGATTGTTACCATGTACCTTGTTTTTAACGAGTTTCCGATATTTTGACCCTGTTGCCAGCGCCATGATGACGGAGTAACTGATAAGGTACATGGTAACAATCCCGTAAATAACATAAATTACTTGTAATTTGTGTTGTAAATACTAACAATATGTCTGTACCAAAATATTTGTATTGTGGTGAGAATAAATAAACATAATTATTATTACTGTAATGTTCAGGACATCTTTTAGCTGACAAGAAGAACAGGCGAAAGAAACTTCTCAGCTCATAATTAAGTAACGATATTTACATAAAAATATGTCGCTATCAATACATCATTATAATTACATTCTTTGCCGGCTATAAAAATCTTTCTTTTTTCAAGTTTTCTAATATTTTTAGTTAGTGGGAAGAGCACAATGGCGCAGCTGGTTAGCGCGTTAGGCCTGTGATCGTGGAAGTTAAGCAACATCGCAATGGTCGGTGATTGGATGGGTGACCAAAAAAATAATATCCTGAGCTCCTCCGTGCTTCGGAAGGCACGTTAAGCTGTCGGTCCCGGCTGAATCTGCAATCGGTAGAACCCACTAATTCGCACTGTTAACCGTTGGCTTAACTTGCCTTCCGAAGCACGGAGGAACTCGAGGTAGAAGATTTTTGGTCACCCATCCAATGACCGACCACTGGGAAAGTTGCTTAACTTCAACGATCGCAGCCGAACGCCATCGAGCTCCTCTCGTAATATGATATACCTGAGTGTAATAGAGGGCCAACCAATACTTTCCGCCGTGGCCGACGAAGGCTGTCTCGTTCGCGTCCAACGGTAACTTGGCCAACTGTTCTTCGTGATGGAGCGCATCATTCGATATCCTAAGGTTGCATCCATACCTAGGCGAAAACTTACTTTTAAGAGATTTTTGATTTGATTGACTTTTAAGTTTAAAAACGCTAGATTATAAAAATACAGAAACTATATTTAAAATATTAAGATAAACACTAGCAAACCAGTGAACCAAATGTTCACCAAAACCTGATTTCTCTAAAACCGGAAGTGCTACGTTACTCAAATCCGGTTTGTAGTCTTATCAGACTATTCTTAACTTATAACTTAAATATTCTCTTTATCTATCTCTTACGGTTTGGCCGCTGAAACAGCACCACAGACAGACGGATGGACTTGTCTAATAGATAAGAGATTATAAGATGCACACACACACACGCATACACATACACACACACACACATGACAAACTCCTTTGGCTATTCCATTGAATTAATAACTTAAGAACAGTTATCTGGATTAATTAATTGTTTACTAAATGGTACACAACTTTATGAATAGGGTGGAGGGTTGATTACCTGAGACACAGGATAATCAACCCACCATAATCTGATCAATACGTACCTTTTATTTTTGGTAAAAAAAAATTGCATGTTTTTTATATCATTGTTTTTATGTAGCCATTAATACCAACATTGAGAACATTGTGATTATGGTGAGAAATAAAGGTTATTATTATTATTTCACTTGCTCCTTCATCTAGTCAGATAAGATCGAGTCGATGAACGAAATTAATCTCATTATATAAGTACATATTGAAAATTCTTTTGAATCGTCCAATATTTTATCCTACTCATATGCATGGTTCAATGGGTATTCAGGACATATTTTAGCTGATGAGAAAAATGGGCGCAAGAATCATCAGCATTTAAAAGAAGTAGCAACATTTACATAAAATCATGTAGCGGCCAATACAACGTCCACTCATATTTTGATTGCTGTGCCATACGGTATAAATACAAACAGTGTTTTGATAATTAAGTGGTGCAGATACGAGTCAAATTTCAAGAACTTTTAATACTAAAGTTGAACAGCGCTATAATGGACATGACGAGAATTAAAAATCTTCCTAATGCTAGCCATACACACTACGAGAAATCGTTACGATCAGACTGTACAGTTCTAACGGAACAGTTTATACGAATTCGTTTAGTATAGGAAACTGTGCAGTTTTATAACATACACGCTACGATTTATCGGTACCGTTCGGACTGTACAGTCTAAGGGTACGGCCAGAGTGCACTCAGATTCAGATTCAGATTCAGATTCCGAAAACAAGCGCGAGAAATAAACAGTGTAGTTAAAGCAGGGTGGCCATAGTGGCAGCAGGCAACCTGCTTAAACTACACTGTATATTTCTCGCGCTTGTTTTCTGAGTCTGAATCTGATTCTGAATCTGAGTGCACTGTGGCCGTACCCTAATCGTAACGATTTCTCGTAGTGTGTATGGCGGGTATAAATCTTTAAAAATTTCTTAACATTAACATTTCAGTTCGATGACGCAGTTGGCTAGCGCGTTCGGCTGCGATCGTTCAATTTAAGCAACTTTCGCAGTCGGTCATTGGATGGGTGACCAAAAATCTTCTATCTCAACTTCCTCCGTGCTTCTGAAGGAACGTTAAGCCGTTGAACCCGGTTGCATCTGCGGTAGTTAGCACCCGCCAATCCGCACAGGGCCCGCGTGGTGCGTCATGATGGCCCAATCTCCCTATTCCATCCATGGGGAAGGCCTGTGCCCCAGCAGTGGGGGCAATAATAGGCTGATGATGATGAGGGCGCTTGTTAACGGGACAATTTCTACCCGGGTCTAGGCACTGGCACGGTTTTAGACCGCGTTGTCACATGCGGTAGTCAGTTATGTGTGAGCAATGACGTATAATATATAGACAGGTTATACGCCAACATTATTGCATTTTAATATGGCACAATTAGTTTTCGCCACAACTTCCCTTGGTAACAGCCGCCAATAGAGTGCACTAGTCTCTTTCACTTTCATTCATGAATCAGATTACGGGTGTTTTCCGAAATATAAACCAGTACGCTGGCTAGCGGTAATGACGTCATGATTTCGACGCCATATTGCACTGGTGTAGTAGTAGTGTTGTTAATATGGCGTCGAAATCATGACGTCATTACCACTGACCAGCGTATTGGTGTTTGATACGGACTTCACCCTACATCTCGCTCTTAAACCCCTATGAGTCAACGGTGTCAGCAACTGTGGTGGGTCATGATTAGGGCTGCCATCCGTCCGGGTTTCCCCGGATTTGTCCTAGTTTACGGGGCGTCCGGGGAGCGTCCGGGCGGGGTTTTGTTTGTAGTCCGGGTTTAAAAATTTACGGCAACGCATGAGTGGCCCTTGTTGCTGCAAGTGTCCATGGGCAGCAGAGACCACTTATTATGAGGTAGACCGCTAGCTATTTGCCTAGATCAACATAAAAAAGTTGATTTGTGACATTTTTAACTGTTTTTTTATTGGTCTGTTCGGGTTCTGAGCTCCAAAATCCGGGGTTATCACGCATCTTATCCTGGTTACCATATTTTAGAGATGGCAGCCCTAGTCATGATGGCCCGTTCTCCCTATTCCATCCATCCAGGGAAGGCCTGTGCCCCAGTATATAGTCGGGACATTAATAGGCTAATGAAAAAGATATTCAGCTCCGATTATTAATATCTTACCAATCAGGACAGGCCTTCAGTATGTCATAAGGCGCCCTGTAATATTCAGCCCGGCGTACTACCGGGTTCCGAATGTTGAACCTCTCGTTGGGGTCAGTGAGGTTGATTCTCTTCAATTTTATATCCTTGCGCTCGCAGATATAGTCGTAATGGAACTTGGGTATGGATTCGCCGCGAGCGCAGAACGTTGCTGCAATATTATTTGAGTTGGCAGAACAATGCAAAAAAATATACCTTTATTAAAAAAAAGACGGGTTGCACTCCGGGAGTGCCGGCAGAAGTGAAAACTTGAATATTAACGTTGTGCATTTTTGATATTTTGGAATGGTTAGGGAATAATTTTGCAAGAATTGCTTTAATTATCAGTATAAAAGTACTATCATGTGTTTGGTAGAATACAATATTTATTTATTGCGCTATCGTACACAAACATGACAATTTATATTACATTAAAAAAGTTTATCTCTCAGAAAAATCAACTTACGTGAATCGCGTTTAAGCGCACTTAGCGACATCTATTGTAAAGAAATCAACTTACATGAATCACATTTAAGCGCACCTAGCGACATTTATTGTAAAAAAATGCATTTTCTTCGCAATAAAGCTGCCACGTGGACGTCCTAGATAGTGACTTATTATTATAATACGATAAAATAAAATATTTCTATGTTTCGTCCAATATATTGAAAGTCAACAACCTTTCCAATTTTATTGTTTGTCATGATGCGATCAGCCCACGTGTTTAACCTGACGCGAGTTTAACATTTTTTACCCGTACAAAAAAAAAGTGTACAGCGCCGCTAAAGAAGGTTTCACTTCAATTATTAGAAATATTCATGACCGGAGAAAAAAGGAAAAGAAATTAAGTAAATTTAGACACTAATGATCAAGTGCCCTTAGCACGAAACAATATCGAATTTGTACGGTTTGCGGGTACGAAATTTCATTGTCAAATGTGTACTGATTTTATTTTCTCGTTACGCCCGCTGTGGATTATGTTACCTGGCATTTGCATTTGCAATTTGATAATGGTTCGTGTTAGCGGTACAGTATCCTTAGAGCGAACTAACGTCAAATTCGAATAGTTAGCGAGAGCGCAATGTCATTGTCAAATTTCTACTGATTTTTAGTTCTCGTTACGTCCGCTATGGCGCTGCTGTTCAAGTTTCCATACAACATTTGACAATGACATTTCGCACTCGCAAATGTTTTCGAATTTGATATTAATTCGTGTAAAGAGTACCTGTTCTTGATTTATTTAGGATTTTTTCCTTTTTATATCTAAAACTCGAGGAGCTCGATGGCGCAAGTGTTTAGCGCGTTCGGCTGCGATCGTTGAAGTTAAGCAACTTTCGCAGTGGTCGGTCGTGGGATGGGTGACCAAAAATTTACTATCTCGAGCCCCTCCGTGCTTCGGAAGGCACGTTAAGCCGTTGGTCCCGGCTGCATCTGCAGTCGTTAGCACCCACCAATCCGCACTGGGCCCGCGTGGTGGGTCATGGCCCAATTTCCCTATTCCATCCATAGGGAAGGCTTGTGCCCCAGCAGTGGGGACAATAATAGGCTGATGATGATGATGATATCTAAAACAAGGAAGGATTCAAAAACTTACTTCTATATGTGCCGTCCATCGTGGAGACAGCAGCATATTTGTCGATACAATATCTGTAGCCTAAGACGGTTGGGTACCTGAGGTAGGGCACTTTGCATGTAAATCTTCCCTCTTGATACATCGCACCCTGGGAACAAGAGATTAGTGGGGGTCAAGCTAATAATAATAATAATAAGCCCGACCCAAGAACCTTCAAAAAAAGAGCGTACTCCTTCCTTAAAGGCCGGCATCGCATTTGTGATACTCCTGGTGTTGCAAGTGTCTATGGGCGACGGTGATCACTTACCATCAGGTGAGCCGTCTGCTCGTATGCCCCCTATAACATAAAAAAAAATCAAGGAAAAACTAAATAACTTATCGGCTTTAAAGGCATGCATGACTAGGGTTACTATTAAAAAATTTGAAAAGCCCTGACAAAAAGCCGGACATTTTATTCACAAAATGCAAACATCACCCACTTAGTTAGTTCTTCAGGGCGGTTTCCGCACTTAGTCCTAATTATTGGACCATTGTGCGTGTCTCAAAAACATTCCCGTTTACTCCAGCCAGCCTATATCGATCCAGAAGGAAAGCAACCTTGGTAGACTGCTGCAAGCTTCCGGAAACGATTCTGGTGACTGGAGAAGTCGTGCCCGTTGGTCGGCCACACTCCTGCATTCCATGATGACATGCTGTGGCGTTTCTTCTGCCTCCATGCATCCTCTGCATAGGGGGCTGTCCGTTACTCCTATTGTAAATAGGTGTTTGTTTAGGGGACAATGACCAGTCAGGGATCCTATAATCCTGCGAAGTTTGTCCCTATTTAGTCTGGTAAGGGTGCGGGCAAAACTTTTATTTGCCGCCGGAACCGCGTTTTTCGTTTGCCGGTATCCTTCACCTGTTTTCCACTCCGTCAAGTGTGATTTTTGAGTTATTTCACGCAGCCACGTTTTAATTTGGGCCTGAGGTATGGGCAGCAAAGGTTCCGGACCATACATCACCCACTTAGTTACAGTGATATTATACGCGTGGTAGCACACACTCGCATCGCGAGGGGGGTTTCGTTGTTGATTTTTAAAGATAATTTATATTTTGTTTTAAATGAATGAGAACTTAATAAAGATTATTTGTCTTATTTGATATTACTTAATAAGTAGTTTGACTCATATTCTATATAATTAAAAAAACCGGACAAATTTAAAAGCCGTACAAAGTCTGGACACAAGGCAAAAAGTCCGGACAAATCCGAACGTATGGTAACCCTATGCATGACTAAAGAAGTGACACTGCAGTTCATATAAAAGCAATAGCAATTATGTGATTGTGATGAATCTTGGCATATTATCATAGTACTAGCAAACCAGTGAACCAAATGTTCACCAAATAAAAAAAAATGTATTTAAGTAATTGTCAATTGAGAACTTCGGAGATTTTGTGTGGTTTCGTTTGAAATTCGTGATTTCTCGAAAACCGGAAGTGCTACGTTACTCAAATCCGGTTTGTAGTCTTATCAGACTATCCTTAACTTATAACTTAAACATTCTCTTTATCTATCTCTTACGGTTTGGCCGCTGAAACAGCACCACAGACGGACGGACGGACTTGTCTAATAGATAAGAGATGGTTTTCAAGCAGAGTAAATTTGTATCAATAGGCTTTTATGAATAGGATGAGCCCATGAAATTTATGCTGTACTAATCTCTCTGCATTCATTTTCTTTGCGTTTAAATTCCAGTCTATTGACACTAAGCCTCAATCACATTTTTAATAGATTCGTCGATTAATGTAGTTCACTAATACCGCGCCTAATGTTGCAACCTAATCATGGTTTAAGCTCGAAATCATAAACTGAAATAACTACTTCAAACTCTTGCTTGAAAATAATTGTATCGTGGAATAAGGAATCAGAAACAAAAAATACATTTAGCTGAAAGAACAGAGAGGTATTTCAACAGCATACAGTGTGAAACCACCCATGCCATCGTCCGATAATGGAACTTCGTCAAGGTTACAATGAGGATCATTTCAAAGTCAACAAATCAACTCAAAATAATAGACTAATAGACTAGAATAATCCATATAGTATTCCAATAAGCTTTCCATCAATATACTTTTTAAATCATCGAAATCGGTCCATCCGTTCCGATTTTATAACTCTTTTTATGGTAGCCATACACACTACGAGAAATCGTTACGATTAGACTGTACCGTCCGAACGGTACCGATAAATCGTAGCGTGTGTTATAAAACTGCACAGTTTCCTATACGTACGCCACGTACGATAAACTGTTCCGTTCGAACTGTACAGTCTGATCGTAACGATTTCTCGTAGTGTGTATGGCTACCATTATAAAGCCAATAACTATCGACGGGTGGGATGTATGGCCAGAGCGTGTGACGTCACAGAGCTCGATTCGCACGTAGTCGCGCTATACTTGCCCTATGCCACGCCACCATTCACTACAAAGTGTTCAATGCAGCTGGGTTATCTTGATTATTTTGTTAAATTAAATAGGTAATAAAGTTAAATGTAGTGTATTATGAATCAATATACAATTCAGTGAAAACACCAAATAAATATTTTTAAAGCTTTTATTTAACTGACTTGAAAAATCTTGACAAATCTTGTAAATGAATTTTCACTAATCCTCAACCGATTGAAATAAAATTTTGATTACTTGCGTTTTAAGTATTTAAGAACAAAGATTGCCATAAAAAATATTATGGCAAACAAACTTAATGAAGTATGTTGTCGCGGATTTTTTTATAATTTTCAAATGGGAACTATTCTTTCTAGGTATCTTTATGTTTTGTGTTGGCTTGGGTTTTGGGTAGGTAATTATTAATCACAGTTAAGATACTACTAAACTATACTTAGCCTAGTAGTCAATAATGAGTTTGTATAGGAATCATGACATTTGCTTTTTAGGGTTTTCGACAGTATGTAATAATCTATCAGCAATGCCTTAAAAAAATGGCCTAAAATATCTCCGTCGACTTGTCCTGTAACCCGGTATGTATTTCTATCCGATACCCTAGCTTCCAATATCAAAAGCCATCCACAACTTACTTTGCGGCTGGACTACTGTTAGGATTAGTAATTTATTCATTATTATAATATATAACGCTAAGGCGCTTTGCAGACGGCGGGGCGGAGCGGGTCGGTCAATTTCGCCGCGAACGATAGCACAAAGTGAATCCTATATTACAAACGCACACAGAGGGCAAAAAGACCGCGCCGCAGGTGCCCGGCGGGCACTGGCGGCGCGGCATGTCCGCGGCTGCCCGCCGTGGATCATACAAACCAGTTTATATGCAGAAACGCAGACGGCGGCGCGGGGGGGCGGTTAGCTCAGTCCGCGCCACGCGCTTTTTAGTGATGGACTATTCACTAGAACGAACGTCCTGAACTGACTGCCTCTGCCCGTCGTGTGCTTTGTGTACGCGGCGAGGGCAGCCGCAGACATCGACGGGCAGACGCGGTTTTTATTGCTTCGCGGACAAAACGCCCGCCCCGCCCCGACGTCTGCAAAACGCCTAAGAAGTGGATCTTTATTTTTCACCTTGCATATAACACTTCTTCTGCCAGGAGGCCTCGACACGCCGCCGAAGCAATAAGACCTCGTCCCGTTGATCATGATCTCCGTCACGCCGATGTGCGAGATCAGGGTGATCCCGTTTATACCGGCCAACGCGAACCGCTGCAAGCCGGCGCGCTTGCGAACTTCGACGTTATTCTTCATACTCATTGTGTTGACTATCGCTTGCCAACCGTACACGAACTCGTGCATCGGTCCTGTGTCAAAGGTGTCTGTTTAGTTAAATATTTCGTAACTTTATTTTGTTTATACTAGCGACGTGCCCCAGACTCGAATAGCTGCATATTGAACTTCTGCTTTTACTAATCTACTTCAAGTCCTGATATTAATAACCTACAACAGAAAAATCTGCAAAATCTATGATCTCATGACTTTCAGACTCCTTTATAAGTAAAGCTCTTTACACATGTTAAAATTTAAACTTTCAGTTCAATCAGTGATAATGAGCCTAAGCAAAGATATGCAAACTTTTGCACTGGTCGGTTATCGGGTGAGTTAGAAATTATCCGTTGGTCCCGGCTGCATTCTAGAAAATTCAATGCTTTAGCAGTCACATCTCTGTATTGTTTACTTTGTTTTTAAGTCCAGGGACGGGCAAACTTTTTCTTTACTTTTTCTTCCCTCACGGGAAGATCGGAAGCGGGTTAGTTCTTGTCGGAACTTGTGAAAAATGGAACTTTTTGGTGAGTACCTTAGATATTTGTTTAATGGTCGCGGGCCGGATTACAACCTTCCGAGAGCCGGAGATGGCCCGTGGGCCGTAGTTCCTATTCCATCCATTCCATTCATACCACCCCACCCAAGGACCAGTATAAGGTTGTCTTCATATACTTTTATCCATTTGGAAAGACTATGTCCTTACCTATCCCGAAGCTGTCTCCGTCGAGGAAGTTGAACATCTCACTGAAGGAGTCGGACATAAGGCCGGCGATGACGGTGGCCACCTGGAGTCCTACGAAGAGTAGTATGAGCACCAGCTCGTCGGGCGGCGGCGTCAGCTCGTGATCCTCCTTGCTTCGGAAACATACAACTACCACCCAATTTCCTGTATTTGGTTGTCTCCATATACTTTTGTCTACTTGGAAAGATAGTGTCTTATAGTTCCATACCTATACTGATGTTGTCTCCGTCCAGAGAGTTGGATATCTCTCCGAACGAGTCACACTTTTGTTATCTTACCTATCACGAAGCTGTCTCCGTCGAGGAAGTCGAACATCTGCCCAAAAGAGTCGGGCATGAGGCCAGTCATGTCGGTGGACACCTAGGCTTCGTCAGGCAGCATGGACACCAGATCGTCGGGCGGTGGCGTCAGCTCTAGCGCCTAATTGCTTCAGAAGCACGTTATTCCTGGCTGCTTCTGCAGCTGTTAGCACGTGGTTACCACCCACCCAAGTTCCTGTATTTGGTTGTATTTATATACTTTTATCGATTTGGAAAGACTGTGTCCTTTAGTTGCTAACCTATCGCGAAGTTGTCTCCATCCAAAAAGTTGAACGTCTCTCCGCGTGAGTCCGACTTTCTCTTTAGTTTATTACCTATTCCGAAGCTGTCTCCGTCGAGAAAGTTGAACATCTCCCCAAAGGAATCGGGCATGAGGCCGGCGATGACGGTGGACACCTGGAACCCCTCATCGGGTAGCATGGGTACCAGCTCGTCGGGCGGCGGTGTCAGCTCGACGGCCGATTTGTTGTTGAAGTGCGCGCGCTTGGCCGCACCCTACTCCGGACGCAATACATTTCTATTTACACAATTTGTTTTACCAGACTTGATGTTACGAGTGACCAGTGGTAAAAACTAACAGAAAACGCATGCTACGGGGATTTAAGTGCCTTTGGCTGAAAGTTTTTTTTCTAGATACTCGTAGGTCCGACAAATGACTCCACCCCACTTGATGTTAAGTGAAGGTGAAGTCCAGACGCGAAGATAACTGATACAGTAGTTCTACCTGCCCCACAAGCCATTATCACCCTGCCGGCCTGCATGTTGTTTCTTCACGCCTCGTTTAAAGGATCCCAGGTTGTAAGAGGGAGGGAACACGTGAGCGGGCAGAGCATTCCATTTACGGATAGTGCGACAAAGTAACGAGTCACCAAACTTCTTTGTACGCGTTGAAATAGTGGCCACAGTTAGTCGGTGGCAACATAGGCCAGTTTATGCCAACCCCAAGATCCCTACTTTTTTCAAAGAGTTCAGTTATTGTAAAATTTAGCTTCATCTCTTTCTCTGAGCACAAGGGATAATCTAAAAGGAGATTGGTCAAATTGGCCTAAATGCAAATAAAATATTGACATATACAGTAATTCTTGGCGTAATTTATACTTTATTTTACAGTCATTAGATATTAACGGCCACCTTTAAATAATATATTAATTTTAAAAAAGGACTTCTATTTTTACCGGTTTGGAAAACATACGAGTCATTTTTATTGGCTATGGGTGTAGTAACATTCACAAAGACTGATCGAGGTTGTTTATATAACATGAAAACAAATCTATTTTGTAAAGATTGATAAAATATATTTTTTTTTATTACACGGGTGGTATTAATATCCACAACTTTATTATCATTTTTACTACATGCAAATGTAGCTAAGACAATTAATATAGATGGTAGGCGACATCATAAAGTCTATTGCCGTACATTTTTTGCCAAACACCTAAATAAACACATTATAAGGTGTGATACACTAAAAATCTAAAATATGGTTATAATAAAAACATAACAAAAATAATGAAGCTGCTGTAGATATGGCTGTATAACCTACAGCTCTTAGCTTTCTTTGATTAACGAGAGTTTAAAAATTCTCTCTAATCTGTGGCTCATTCACAATCATCACACAGTTTCTGTTAGTGTTTTTAAAAACATGCACATATCTGTTATTTTACATGCTCTATATACCTGAATCTAATACATAATATCGGTACTTGGCTTGATTGCCCTATTTTCCTATATAAGTTATTTGGTTTTTATTATTCTAATACCTATGTGCCTATTTGCAAACATAACCTCAAAATCATTCAGTGTATATGGTTTATAGAAGTTCTCAGGAGTGGCCGTCGATAATATTCGTTTCTACGGTAATTTATATATAATTTCGAATGTAGGAAACAATTTTCCATGGTTATTGGTTTTTAGGCCAAACATGTATGGAAGCTGAGCAATCTCCTTTACCATTGGACCGACGTTAATGGATTCCAGTTGCGAATATACCCGGTTATGGATGGAGGATGTAAATGAGATATATGCTACTCTAACCATCCTTAGCTGCTGGCCTGGATCTGTGTGACTTTTTTTATGGCGATATTACTATATAGAGTTCGTAAAGCTATAGTATATCATTCGTACTCACAGAAAAATTACACTAATAATATTCTTTTGAAAGGTTTAAGACATCTATCCACTGTTTGGATTCTTTGAACTAACTCATTACAGTGTAACACATTAGGTACACACCGAATAATTAATAGAACTTAAGAAAATTTTACATAAAAAAACACGCGGACCAGGCAGCAGGCGGGACTCGAAGCCGCACCCTTCGCTATGGTTCAAGTCCCGTCTGCTGCTTGGTCCACGTGGAATTTTCTCTAGTAACGATTTAAACATCTAGCAGTTAAATGCTTAAAAAATAACAAATATAATTTATAGAATTTAAAATTGCATATCGAGCTATAAACGACGAGACCGAGAAATTAGAAAAATATTACCTGGTACACGCATATTGCTAAGAACACAGCTCCAACCGCCCACATGTTGATTGGAGCGTTTGACGCCTGATCTCAGATGTTGCAATTTGGTAGCTCGTAAACTCGTAATGGCCAATTACTTTAATAAACAGCGGTTATTGTTTTTATGCTGATAAAACTACTACTCACAACAGTAGTCGACGGAATAACAGTTGGCATAAAGTTTTAAATTATTGAGAGGTATCGGTGTTTGAATAAAAGCAGCATCAAAGACTTTCATTTATGTTTTATAATCACGGCTGTTATTAACGGAGACCTTGGGTAGAACCTGCACCGTGTAGTTTGCACAAGGGTGCAGCGGTAACAGAGGGCTCCGAGCGTCACTCAAACAGTTGCATAGCAATGAGGGCTATCGTTTTTTGTCTCACCAGATGGCGCCACTGTTGAGTGAGGTCCTGAAGTGTAACTTTTAAAGTTAGTAAACACGCTCGTGATATCAAAGTTTACATTTTAATAGAAAAGAATATCTTAAACATAATCGCCCATGCCACAGTGTTGCGCAGTCCCGTTTTGTTCGGAAAAAAGGACAATATTTTTTCTTAGCTCCGCTTTTAAATAACTGACAATCATTGAAACGTAACTCATATTTGCCATAATAAGTTTGATTTATTACCAAATATTCACAACTATTATTTTAATTAGAAAAAAACCGCGTAGTCAACCCGCAAGCTATAACATTTGACATTTCGGAGACCTCACGCAACACAAGCGCCTCTAGCGGCGGTTTCAGACGCGATAGCCCTCATTATTAAAACTATACACCAACGATATTAAATACCCTAGATACACCATTCCTCGTAGCATGAGCACCATAATTTAAATTATATCGCATTTTTTTTTAACTGTCAAACTCTATAGTAATTTGACAATTGAGCGTGATAAAAACGAGCTATTTATCATATCGGGGTGCTCATATTAGAGGTGCGTGTGCGCTCAAAATGTGTCCCTGTCAAGAAGTTGGTTCAGTCACACACGGACCGTTGAAAAAAAATACTTATAGTACGTAGAGTACCTATTTTTCGACAGGTATCTAATCAATGTTTGTTAATTTAATGCATTTGAAGCAGATTTTGTTCTAATACTTACTATAAACAGATTTAATAGAAAATATTTGTGATATTCAAATTGCATGGTCGGTTCAATATACGGACGGAGGGCCGGGCGGTACGGTGGGCACTGGGCCGCGTACTCAGCTTCCATGCGCGGGCCATCCTGCGCACATCTGCGGGGTCCCCGCGATACCCCGGGAGACCACTGCCGTGGAGCCCCGGCTAGGCCGGGCTGCTAGGGAAGAATCCCTAAACGGGGATCCCGCGGCTTCGCGCTAAGCAGCTCACAGGGTATTCGCAGGGTTTTTTAGCGTTTATTATGCCGTAAAGCGCCCGCAAGAGTTACGGGGTCCTCAGTGGGAAGCCACTGCTGGGGCTTGTAAGGCTTGCGGGAGCCAGGTGTGAGGTCCGTCCGGCGGTGTGCCTCTTAAAAAATGGTCGGTTGCGTATAAAAAAAATAGTCGGTTATATAGCAGTCTCTTTCTAGTTGTTAGTTCCTCGCGGTCCGTACCTGCTATATTGCCAACAGCACATTCATAATTGCGCGTAGAATTAAACAATAAAAGTCTATAATCTCCCGCCTATAGTAATAAGTCGCAAAATTTTACGAGCTTGCATTTGAAACTGTCAGAAGTCTTTGACGCACGCGTTTAAATTAAATCTTTTTTTTTGGCAAAAAAGGTGACTTTCAACGTTTAAAAACGACCTCCGTGGCCGAGTGGTTTGTACGCCAGGTTTCATGGCTGTCGCCTACTCGAGGGCAGATGTTTGTGTGATGAACACGAGCATTTGTACTCCAGTCATGGATGTTTAATATGTATTTTCTATATAAATATACTTATATACGTAAAGTATATGTATTCTATCCGTTACCCTAGTATCCCATAACACAAGCCTTATAGTACTTACTTTGGGGCTAGGCTAATTGGTGTGAGTGTTGGAAATATTTATTTATTTAAATAATGCCTTATATTGTTTTTAACTACGCGATCATCTTACGGAGCTCCGTGGATCGTCCAATGAATGTACCTATTGGACAGGTTTCGGCCACGATTTAATTCGTAATGTTGTATCTAAGGTATTTAGTATTATATACCAACTGTGGGTGTACAGAGAATCCTGTTAGCAAATGATGTGTAGATTTGCCACAGTTTAAATTTAAGTTAAAAAGCTGGTTATTAAATAATGTTTTTTATAATCTTGATGAATATTATACTTGTAAAACTTAATATAATTTAGGCTCTAAAATGTACTTTTTAAATTAAGATAGTTTTAAGTTATAAATTTTACCATTGCATGCCCGTTATGGGCACACTGTTGTGACTATGTTATTATTGCAATTCCAACTGCAAAATTGTACACAGTTTTTTAAGCAATAAAGTTATTATTATTATTTAAGTATTAAGTTTATGAATCGCATTCAAACTGCAGCTCGATAATGGCTCAGTTGTCTTAAGCTATAGGCTAATATATCGTATATTAGTACAGTAGCCCGCAGTACGAACCTTTTTAAACAAAGATCAGAAAATTCTTTTTGCCCACTCTGTATGATATTACAGAAACCATCTTGGTTATAATGATCATACCGCGCACTAAATCACACATATTTAAAAATAAAAGAAAATAACCAAACATATCAATCTTTATTTTAATAATTCATATAAAAGCATAAGTACATTGGCATCTAGAATTTATTATACAAAAGTGATATAATTTATTATATAAAAACTCACTTTGTGATGTTTCGTTATAATTTAAAATATTACATTATATTATAGAAAGCTTCAATCATTTTAATAAAATCTGATAGACTTATATCAATATAGACTATTCAAAATTATGGCGATAACTGGTTGAATAGGTTTTGTTTCAAGTCTGTTGTACAAACGATGTTATTTTATGATTATACAAAAGATCAGCTTGAAAATTTTTAATAACATTTACATTCAAACAGTTAATATCCTATGGTTTTTTTTTTCACGACAACTATTATTAAAATACTATTCTATATATATAATAAGTATTGTAAGTAAAACTTTCAATAAGGATTCTTATCAACATTACCCTACTAGACATTTGGTCGAATCTGTTAAAACTTCAATTACTAGCTAGAATCTTTACATAGTTCTCAATTAGCAAAAAACGCATAGCTATAGTCTATTCAACTTCCTCTGAAACAGAATGTAAGCAAATA